ATTCCATAGGCCTTCTCCAGTCAGGCTGCGATTGGAGATGACTTCATATTTTGGTGTACATGAAGGTGATGGGCGAGAGCCTGCTCCTGCTTATCGAGGAACATCTTGGGTATCTTCCGCCCTGGTACTCGTATCCACGTCTTCTGTCTGGGCTGCGAAAACTTTGCTGATATGTGACTCGGCCGAAGTGTCTTTTTTGCCCCCCCCCCTCTCCTTGTACTCACCCGCGTCCAGGTGTGCAACCAGGAGTCCTAACGCCCGCTACCCCACAACAAAGTGGCATGAAGCTGGTATATAGTTATCCACTGCTCCACGCGCTATCTCCCCGTCACCTGGCTTTGATCCACACATATAATCGCGAAATGTGCCTTCCAGGTCTCTAATCTAGGAGAGTGACATACATAGCGTATCCTACGGCTGGCATGGGCTGGGCTGAGCATTTCATTTGAACGTGGCGTACAAGGCGTTTTTCGTAAGATATTTTCAGCTGTGGCGACATGTCTTGTGCTGGGCTGGCATGGCTACGAGTGTTCCAAACTGAAAATCCCTCATCAAAAGCGCAACCGCCTTCACGTTCCAGTGAAGCACACGGCCACGCCTACTCTATCTCTGGGGTATCGAGTGTACATAACTGATATGAATTGACTTTTCTCGGCGCTATCACGATTACTCTACCCAGATACCCTTTTACTGCCTCACGTTCGAATATTTGACATCAATTTTTGCCATTATTTGTAGCGGGAGGCAGATTTGGGCAGAGCCTGTCTCTTGAAGTTATGAGACGTCATGGATACCAGTATCACATCTTTTTGGGTTGGAAACCGCAGGCTCAAGGAGGTGGCCTCTGATTTCGCAAATCTGCATTTGTAAAGAATGAAAAAAAACAACTTCAGCGTTTAGCCCTACCGTTGCGGTAGTTTGAAAAAAACGGTAATCAAAAAGATGGCGAAGAATTGAGTAATCTCTCGAAATAAAGGATAAAGGATAAAGTCTTCGCCGTTGATCAATCCCTTTGTGGGATGCGGCACGCATTCTACTTCCATTCAGAATCGTAGTGGCTTATTGAATGTAGCCTATAAAACGACTTTCCGGAGGCCAGCCAATGCACAAGCCAGTGTTAGTATCCTCTCAGACGGATCTGGTACCGATTTACCACTCCGGGTCAGTAGAAGGCTTGGTTGGGCTAGGCGAGAGTCTTACAAATTATTGGACAAAATTCCTTACCCATTTCATGCTCTGCAGCACTGTCCATGGAAGTGGTTCAGCACGAGTAGTTTTGATCTGTATGTATAGCACCGGAAGAAGAGCAAAGAGGAATAGCGTTGGTACAGCTACCAATACGGTGTGAGAAAAGCATTCTGACGGAAAAGGAGGTGAAAACGGAAGCGGTTGCACTATGCCCTGAAATTGATGGATGAGAAACGCAAAAAAGCTGAATGTCATTTGGTACACCATAACGGAAAAGCTGCTCTGATCAACTCACCCAAAAGGAATCTCCGCAAAAGCCACCGGTGAAGTTGTGCTGCATTTAATATCTCTAGCGCGGTCTTTTGCTTG